AATAATGAGGTCAAGTACAGACAGTGTGTTTGATAATAAGGTCAAGTACACTGAAAGTGTGGTTCATAATGAGGTCAAGTACAGAGCGTGTGTTTGATAATAAGGTCAAGTACACTGAAAGTGCGGTTAATAATGAGGTCAAGTACAGACAGTGTGTTTGATAATAAGGTCAAGTACACTGAAAGTGTGGTTAATAATGAGGTCAAGTACAGACTGTGTTTGATAATCAGGTCAAGTACACTGAAAGTGTGGTTAATAATGAGGTCAAGTACAGACAGTGTGTTTGATAATAAGGTCAAGTACACTGAAAGTGTGGTTAATAATGAGGTTAAGTACAGACAGTGTGTTTGATAATAAGGTCAAGTACACTGAAAGTGTGGTTAATAATGAGGTCAAGTACAGACAGTGTGTTTGATAATAAGGTCAAGTATACTGAAAGTGTGGTTAATAATGAGGTCAAGTACAGACAGTGTGTTTGATAATAAGGTCAAGTACACTGAAAGTGTGGTTAATAATGAGGTCAAGTACAGACAGTGTGTTTGATAATAAGGTCAAGTACACTGAAAGTGTGGTTAATAATGAGGTCAAGTACAGAGCGTGTGTTTGATAATAAGGTCAAGTACACTGAAAGTGCGGTTAATAATGAGGTCAAGTACAGACAGTGTGTTTGATAATAAGGTCAAGTACACCGAAAGTGTGGTTAATAATGAGGTCAAGTACATACAGTGTGTTTGATAATAAGGTCAAGTACACTGAAAGTGTGGTTAATAATGAGGTCAAGTACAGACAGTGTGTTTGATAATAAGGTCAAGTACACTGAAAGTGTGGTTAATAATGAGGTCAAGTACAGACAGTGTGTTTGATAATAAGGTCAAGTACACTGAAAGTGTGGTTAATATTGAGGTCAAGTATACTAAAAGTGTGATTAATAATTCATTTACTATAATTCTCTTTGCAGGTAATGTGACACCAGGCTACCCAGCATCCACTGCTGCTTATCCAACTCCTGGTTATCCTGCTCCTGGTAACACTGGATATACACCATACCCTACAACTGGGTATCCTACTTCTCAATATCCAGCCTACAACCAGACAAGCAATCCTCCATATCCGTCATCAGGTTATCCCACAGGTGAGTGTTATATGTATCTCTGCTTGTGCCACAGATTATCATGTGTGAATGTTTCCATCGTGCCATACATTGCAGTCTGAGTACTATATGGGGAGCATTTCACATGATATGAATAACTGTCTGACTAAACTAGTTTGACAGAAAGTGCATGTGCAAGTTGTAGATGTTTGGTGACACAGTTCAGACATTGCAACAAAATTGTGATTACATCAGCTTCACCTTCCATGGATGATATTTGTTGTGGATTGGCACAGGCCACCATGACCCATCCTGATGTGATCCAACCCACCATGATCTAATTTGACGTAGTCCTACCCAATATGACTAAAATCATCAGGACCCAACCCACCATGATCCAATTTGATGTAGTCCTACCCAATATGACTAAAATCATCAGGACCCAACCCACCATGACCCAACCTGATGTGATCTAACCCACCGTGATCTAATTTGACATAGTCCTACCCACTATGACTAAAATCATCAGAACCCAACCCACCATGACCCAACCTGATGTGATCTAACCCACCATGATCCAATTTGACGTAGTCCTACCCACTATGACCAAAATCATCAGGACCCAACCCACCATGATCCAATTTGATGTAGTCCTACCCACTATGACCAAAATCATCAGGACCCAACCCACAATGACCCAACCTGATGTGATCTAACCCACCTTGATCCAATTTGACGTAGTCCTACCCACTATAACCAAAATCATCAGGACCCAACCCACCATGATCCAATTTGACGTAGTTCTACCCACTATGACCAAAATCATCAGGACCCAACCTGATGTGATCTAACCCACCATGATCCAATTTGATGTAGTCCTACCTTCTATGACCCAAATCATCAGGACCCAACCCACAATGACCCAACCTGATGTGATCCAACCCATCATAACCCAACCTGATGTGATTCACCCCACGATGATCCAATCCACCATGATCTAATTTGATGTAGTCCTACCTACTATGATCAAAATCATCAGTACCCAACCCACAATGACCCCGCCTGATGTGTTCCAACCCATCATAACCCAACCTGATGTGATTCACCCCACGATGATCCAATCCACCATGATCTAATTTGATGTAGTCCTACCTACTATGATCAAAATCATCAGTACCCAACCCACAATGACCCCGCCTGATGTGTTCCAACCCATCATGACCCAACTTGATGTGACCCAAGCCACCAGAAACATGACCGATTCGACCATGCAGCCCGCCATGATCCAAGCTCATATGCGTGTTTCTTTGTATAGGTTCCACACCTCATGCTGCTGTGACACACCAATCTAGTATCTCGGAAGATCAAATCAAAGCATCATTGATATCTGCTGTAGAAGATAAACTCAAACGTAGAATGAAAGAAACATTTGAACAAGCACAGGTACTACATGACAGATATATTTCTCTCCAAAAATATAAAAAGTCAAATGAATGTATTTGTAAATATTATTATTATTATTATTACATTGATCTGTTTTTTTGTTTTCAGGCTGAAATGGATGTATTGAATTCAACACAAGAAAAACTCAAAAGGGGACAAAGAACATTAGAAGAAATGATACAGAACCTAGAAAAAGAACAGGTATTCAATGAATGAACTTGTTAGGACTTTTGCGGCCTGACATATGTGGCCTGATGTTTGTGGGTATAAGTTATATTCACTTGTGCTATAGTGTATCTATATGATGTATCCATAGTATACATCGCATCAGAAAGCAAAATAATTGCCATACTCTACAAACATCAGAGGCTGTGATGTTTTGTCATAGTACATTATTGCATATATACACACATACAATAATAATGTCATCTGATCAGATATGGCCGACTGCTGACAATTAAATCAGGTATTGTGGCATGTCTGGAACCTGGGCATGTGTTGTTCAATTTTCTGCAAACCTGGTGGAAAGAGAAAGTACTGAAGGTTGATGCCTGTCACTTGACGACTCATGTGCTTTATATCCCAGTATATGCGTAAATCTTAGATAGCAATACAATAGATATGTCAAAAATTCACTATGCCCAGGATAAGCTGAATTATCTTCAAATGTGTATAGTTTAAGGATTGAACACAAATAAAGTATGTGCTTTGGTCATTTTATAGAAAGGAACCTTTCTACTAATAATGTGTGCTATGCTGTTGACATTGGTTTTCTTGCTATAAACATGATATTATTTATTGTCACACAGTAGATGCCAAAACTTGAATTTGGTGTGAGCTTCCTTTCCTACTTTCAATTATGTATATAGTTAAAACACTGATAATTGTTTTTTTAATTTTTACTCACTTCATAACAAACAACAAAATTCAATATATCTATCTTATTATAGTGATTTTATTGATGCAAGCATTGATGCAATCAAGTATTTTCCCGTTGTGCACTGGCTGCTATATTCTGGAAATGACAGTTTGTTTTTGATTTCTAGATTGATGTTGAAAAAAATATTAAATTATTGACAGAAAAGGATGATGAAATAAAGAAAGTTTTAGCAAAGATGGAAAATGAAGAGGAGATAAACATTGATGAAGCTGTTGTACCCACGGCAACATTATATAAGCAGTACGTATATCCAGACTTTATTTTTAATACATGTATATATTATTCATTTCAATTAAGCTAATTATGATTTGACTTTTCTATTTAGATTATTAAATCTTTTTGCCGAGGAGAATGCCATTGAAGACACCATTTACTACTTGGGAGAAGCTCTAAGAAAAAGTGTCATTGGAATTGATGAATTCCTCAAAGTAAGTATTCACACATACATTCTAACATGATATAAATTCCTTAACAAAATAACTGTACAGTCAAACTTTGTTCATAGCATGACTCTAGTCATTTGTTCATAGCGAGTAAAAAGGCGGACAAAGAAAAAAAGATGGGAGTATCAAGTCCTGTGCAATTTTCAGGTCATTTACATGGCTGTTAAAATTCAATAGTTGAAGTATTCAAAATAGTTCAATACTGAAATTGACAATCAGATAATTCTTTGGACAAACATTGGTATGGCATTTGTACTTTTGAATTCACCTATATCTAAGCTTTCAGATGATGTATAGGTTGTTATAGTAACATCCTCAGTTAAAGAATGTCTTAATCACAGATCAAAACATGTTTTCCCCTCATTGCTACTGGTACCTTAAAGTAATGAATTTTGTCTCATTTTAGCATGTGAGAGATCTATCGAGAAGACAGTTCATTTGTAGAGCTCTGATGCAGAAAGCCAGACAGAAGGCAGGACTCAGTGAAGTTGCTGTACATTGAGTTGGTGTGATTATTAGCATTCAGTGTTTGTGCAATGTATATTTGTCTAGTACTTTTATATGTTGTAACATTTAAGGCTATGGAGAAAGTATTGTAACCAGTGATAAGTAGCTGACATCTGTTATATTATGTAATACTCATGTATATGAAAAGAATATACTTTATCAAACATTTATGCACATTGATACCATATATTGAATTATTACAGTAGCAACATTGATAACAACTTTGATTACTACGGTGAAAACGTTGATTACTACCGTAATGACATTGATTACTATAGGATACAAGTTATGTATGTACTACTACAGTAACACATTTGATTACTACAGTAATGACTTTAATTACATCCATAAAGACTACAGTAATGGCTTTGGTTACTGTCGTAATGACTTTTATTACAACCATAATGACTTGGATTACTACAGTAATGACTTTGATTACCACAGTAATGACCATGGTTACCACAGTAATGACTTTGGTTACAACAGTAATGACTTTGATTACCACAGGAATGACCTTGGTTACCACAGTAATGGCTTTGATTACCACAGGAATGACCTTGGTTACCACAGTAATGACTTTGGTTACCACAGTAATGACTTTGGTTACAACAGTAATGGCTTTGGTTACTGCCGTAATGACTTTTATTACAACCGTAATGACTTGGATTACTACAGTAATGACTGATTACATCAGTAATGGCTTTGATTACAACAGTAATGGCTTTGGTTACTGTCGTAATGACTTTGATTACAACCGTAATGACTTTGATTACCACAGTAATGACCTTGGTTACCACAGTAATGACTTTGGTCACCACAGGAATGACCTTGGTTACCACAGTAATGGCTTTGATTACAACAGTAATGACTTTGGTTACAACAGTAATGACTTTGGTTACCACAGTAATGACTTTGATTACCACAGTAATGACCTTGGTTACCACAGTAATGACTTTGGTTACCACAGTAATGACTTTGGTTACCACAGTGATGACTTTGGTTACCACAGTGATGACTTTGGTTGCCACAGGGGTGACCTTGGTTACCACAGTAATGGCTTTGATTACCACAGGAATGACCTTGGTTGCCACAGTAATGACTTTGGTTACCACAGTAATGACTTTGGTTACCACAGTAATGACTTTGGTTACCACAGTAATGACTTTGGTTACTGCTGTAATGACTTTTATTACAACCGTAATGACTTGGATTACTACTCACAGTAATGACTGATTACAACAGTAATGGCTTTGATTACAACCGTAATGACTTTGGTTACCACAGTAATGACTTGGTTACCACAGGAATGACCTTGGTTACCACAGTAATGGCTTTGATTACAACAGTAATGACCTTGGTTACCACAGTAATGGCTTTGATTACCACAGGAATGACCTTGGTTGCCACAGTAATGACTTTGGTTACCACAGTAATGACTTTGGTTACAACAGTAATGGCTTTGATTACAACAGTAATGACTTTGGTTACAACAGTAATGACTTTGGTTACCACAGTAATGACTTTGATTACCACAGTAATGACCTTGGTTACCACAGTAATGACTTTGGTTACCACAGTGATGACTTTGGTTACCACAGTGATGACTTTGGTTACCACAGTGATGACTTTGATTGCCACAGTGATGACTTTGATTGCCACAGGGATGACCTTGGTTACCACAGTAATGGCTTTGATTACCACAGGAATGACCTTGTTTGCCACAGTAATGACTTTGGTTACCACAGTAATGACTTTGGTTACAACAGTAATGACTTTGGTTACAACAGTAATGACTTTGGTTACAACAGTAATGGCTTTGGTTACAACAGTAATGACTTTGATTACCACAGGAGTGACCTTGGTTACCACAGTAATGGCTTTGATTACCACAGGAATGACCTTGGTTACCACAGTAATGACTTTGGTTACCACAGTAATGACTTTGGTTACAACACTAATGGCTTTGGTTACTGCCGTAATGACTTTTATTACAACCGTAATGAC